ATATTTTTACATATAGTTCTGTGGGAGTCGTAAAAGACGAAGGGGGGAAACTGAAAGGGGAAATAGGCCGCAGCATCTTCGTGATAACAAGTCAAACTAATAAAAACTACTACTGCAAACCTGCTTGCCAAGGGTAGCAACTATGACAAAATCTATGGGGCAATCTATGAGTAAGCGTTCAGCACTGGACTTTTATAGTCTGTAATCTATACTTTTTTATAATATAATAAAGTGGAAGAGTTTGTTTGTTTGAACGCGCTAATCTCTGGAACTACCCGTCCGATTTGAAAAATTATTTTTGTATATTATAGCTAGATTCATGTGGAATAGTATAATCTATCTAGCATTAAGCTATATTACTTAGCTAGCCTTAAATATGGATATTTGTTAAGCAAGTCAGAAGAAAAAGCGCTCCCAAAATGATTTATCCGCGTACGCTGGTGTTGTGGTAGGGGATATGTAAATCTAATGTTCTAGAAAAATATAGATCTTTACTCCATCTAAAAAAAGTCAAGGATACCATATGTCTATTTCTTATACATAAGCCATAATTAGGTATTTTGTGACAAAAAAATATTGAAAATTAAAATGTGATTTATAAGCGTTATTATTAGGCATGATCTATTTATCCTTACGAACAAAAGTTACTTCATCATCAAGACAATTTTATGAAGATAAACTTTGTTCTTTATACGATGTTATTTAGACGCATAGTTTAAGAGATAATGTAATATTAAAATAATTCAATACTCGGCTGAGCGCGCGAACGGCGCATAAACCCTAGCCGCCCGGTGAGCACTGCGAGAAGCCTGTATTGAAACCTTCTATGAGCGAAGTTAGTTCAATCATATAAATCAAATAGCTAAAGTAAATTAAAAATTAATTGAGTACCTTTATGACAATGATTAGTTACATCTTTATTTCTGAACTCTTTCATTTCACGTTGCTATGGTATTTTGAAAATTTTATTGATTAATAAGTATAAGAGTTTCATAGCAAATTTATCAAGAATCATTTCATGCCTACACACTTTTTATGTATCGTGTACGGTTTACTTTAAAACTGAAAAAACCGCGCTTCGGGACACTTTATGGGACGTGAGAGGGGGGGGGGGGGGTGGCAAGGTTGCTCCACCAGGAGGGGGAGGGAAAGTGGATAAAACTTTACTTCGCTCTACATCATATATAATATGCCGACAGATAAACGTACTCCATTAATTATGTCAATTTTTCCATACATTGCTATCAAATAAAATATTTAATTGCAATTATAAAATGCTTGAACTATGTGTCATGTCATGTCGCGCACCTCGGACACGTGATGACGCGGGTGAAACCGCGAGGCACAGCTAGTGGACTATAAAAGTTTGACATATGTTTCAAACTTGGTATACCAAATCAAAATTGGTATACCAAGTTTGAAACATATTGCTCCAATCAAACTGAAGTTTTTTTTTATATGGTTTTTCATACGTCTTTCGATATGAATTATGTGAATTTTGTAGATTGTGTGTTACCTAGGTAGGATTCTCAATTGCTATGGGTATAGTGACGATGTAACAATATTATTTACTACGCCATATTATCCCGTGAGTGTCGTAAGAGGCGACAGAGGGAAATTGATACAGTAGGTGAGCACCAACGTCAGCTAGCTATCAGAAGGTAACAACTTAAAATTATAAAAAGAAACTGCGGTTGCCAAGATGACTGACAAGCGTGGTAAATATGGCGAAATCCCCCTATGAGGCAATCTATGGGAGTGTCCTATGTTGATGGGATGGAATGAGAGTTAAGGTTTTTACTAGGTAGTCCCTTTTTATGCTTACGAGTCGATCTAAATAGGTGCTATCCTCTTACTAATTTCTGCCGCGAAGCAGCACTGCTTGCATTACTGCATTCTGGTTTTTTTTTATAGGATAAGGGTGACAAACGAGCACACAGTCCACCAGATGGTAAGTGGTTGCTGTGACCCATAGACATCTACATTTATTCTCGATGAGGAATCAAAACGCAGATGCGTTGTCACCCGTGAGGACTAAGATGGAATGCCTCGTTTCCAGTAAAAAGGGTCTCTGGTTCTATACACTCACCATACGAAACACAGCAGCATTAAGTTGCTATTTTACGCTGGTATTCTGTGAGAGCGTGGTCCTTCCCCGGTCGAGTCGACCCATTCGTGTTACAACTATACCAGAAATATAGCTGCAGCATGGCTCTACCACGTATAAATCTGGTTCTGGCAGTATACCTAGTAGTATATCAATATGAAATATTGATATTCTAGGTTCAATTCCAAATGTCTTCAATAGATCTATCCGTGATATTTTGAAATAACTGAAATAATTGGTCATCTATATACTTATATACTTTTGTTCTAGCTTTAAATCTGTAACAGGCATCTTGTAATCTGCTGGATGAATGATTGCAAAGCCACAGTGTAATAAATGATTTATAACTTTAGCAATTGTAACTCTTTATAATTTACTTCATAAACACATGTTTTGGCTTACAGTTTAGTACGTAATCATTTAATTTTAAGAAACTTATCTCCACAACTGTAAACTGTATTGTGTTAATAAATAAAATAAAAAATAAAAATAGATTTTAATTACAAGCTTCGAGGTTTTCCATCTTAGTCATCGATGACAACGCACCTGTAGCCTTGTTCATTGTACAAGTTGATTGCAGATGTTCATGTTCTACAGTACCCACTTACTATCAATCAGGTGGGTTATAAAAAAAAAAATCCCAAAAAATGTACTTGCATTGTGTATGTACACAGCCGTCGTCTTTTAAGAAGCTGTTGATCAGCGAATCTTTGAAATCGCGCTGTAACATTTCTATGATTAAATAAAATGAAAGACACAAATTAACAAACGAATGTATTGCACAAAATGTGTTTAGCCTAATCAATAAATTAAAGTTATTTACAGGAAAAAGATATAATAGACTACACATTTTTTGCTTATAATAAGCCAGTGCTTAAGCACAGTTCCACCTGGTGGTAAGTGGTAATGACGTCCTAGATGGTAAATCGCACTGTCTGAGCGTAACAAAAGCCTATACACTGTTGCCTTGAAGACGGCCAGGTTGTAATCGGACAGAAAGAAAGACGAAGAAAGATTATTCTACGTATTTTCTATCTTTGCTGCGTTTTCAAAGCTTACAGTGCCCAAGTTGAATTATCTTATATATTAATTTATTAACACATTTTGTTAAATTAATGGTTTAGATATTATTTATGTTTAATACTGCTTTATTATAATTTAAAAAATCTCTTATCCTAAAATAAAATTTTTGTTATATAGGGTTATTTTTCAAAGAGTAGCCAAATTTTAAACTAAAGTTCATATGTATAAATATGATATACCGTTATTGCAGTTTTTGAATATTTTACTTATGTTATAGTTTAGCAAAGTAAATATTGTAATCAGTGCATACTCGTATAATAAGTTTATTTATAATATATTTCTGATCCCATATTGGCATATAATGACAGTGAAAAATGCAAAAGTTTCAATACAATAATTACGGTACCCCTACCTTAGTGATAACCCACATTGTAGGCTGTTTTGTAGCCGGATTATTTTCTAAAGCTAGATAATGGTTAAATGCAGTATATGCAATCATTACCATCTTAAATGATATTTCTAATTATGAGTAAAATTGTAACTCATACTCCGGAAGTTAGAAAAAAATTTCGTCACTTTTTCTACACAATACAAAATATTTGTGACGTTTTTATATCTATAGAAAACTAATTTTTTAAACGATTCGGCCAAAACTCTTGAGGCTATCATGTTGTAATACATTAGGACAGAATGTAATCGAAACCCTAAATGTAGACAAGACAAAAATATATTTTCACATAATGCAAAGTGCAAATCGTGCAAGTTGTTCGGGCTACAGCCTTAATAGCTTTACGTTTATGAACTCATTTGCTCAGCGATATAGTTAAATCAGCACTGGCGAAACTCTATAAGTTGTAGCACAATAACATTGCACCAAAACTATCCCTGGCAATATTGCTGAGCTGTCGTTCTTAGCATAGTTTCTAACAAGATACAAGTTTTAAAGTTCGTTCATGAGTCCTCTTTTGAGCTTTCCTTTTTTATATTGTGTGCTTACGTAGATTGTAATATATTTAAGGCAAATTCTCTGAAATAAATGCGTTATCTTGTAGTTGATGTGGTGTAATATTGCTATATAAATAATCATACATGCATAATATTAACTATGACACTTACTCGTCTAATTGAAAAAAAATCTCTAGATTAATATTACGTATTGTCTCGTGTGAAATGATCCTTTATTAAGTCTTCTGAAAAACAAGAAGTACTATTTAAAAAAAAAACAACGGGTTGCACTCCGGGAGTGCCGGCAGAAGTGAAAACTTGAATATTAACGTTGTGCATTTTTGATATTTTGGAATGGCGGAGATTATTTATTATTATCTTATTTCATTTATTTTCATTAGAAATTATTTGTTTGGTATATCTATACCGCACATGTGCTTATTGTGATGTTATGAAAATATAGGTTAATGCTATAAAGTATAAACATATTACAAATATTATATCTATAATGTGTAAGTACATATGTATCTATATTAATAATTTCGTCAAGCAGTACAGTAGACTTGATCGAAACCTAATCTTAATAATAAAATTATATTAATTAATAAATGAAATTAATTAGACCTAACCTAACCTGAATAATACTACTACGCCGCACCGGCTGTCTACTCTCCGTCCGTCTTACGAATTTTCGATCACGATACGTGACCTGACGCGAGTTTAATATTTTTTACCCATTACAAATAAAGTGCACAATGTCGCTAAAGAAGTTTTCCCTTCAAAATATCTTAAATTCAAGATTACTTATAGTTAATTTAATTTTGTTATACATTTGCCAGGTTTTCGGTCAAAACTTGAGTACAATATTGAGGCGTGGTGGTTGACATAATAATATTTTTATATCATTCAATCAAAGAATTATTTCTTAATCAACTATACTAAATGCATCATTAAGGTTCTGAGGGCTAAAAGCCACGTTGCTATTCTTATAATTGACATATGATGAAATCTTTGCTGATGATGCAACGTCTGGGTCTACAGTTTCTTCAGCTGGAGCAAAGTCTTCATCATCAGATGTCATCGGACTATTGAAGTGAAATTTAGGCACATATCTTGCAGGTGGTTCAGCATATCTGCCTCCGACTACTACCTGATCTTCAGGCAGATTCCTTTCATTCGTTTCTTTAGTATTCCACGGCCTATCCATAACTTTTGTTGTATCGATAGGTTTTGATTTTTTCTTGTTATTTTTGTGAGTGTTCATTTGATATCTATTTTCATATTCAAAAACTACCTGATCTTCAGGCAGATTCCTTTCGTTTGTTTCTTTAGTATTCCACGGCCTATCCATAACTTTTGTAGTATCGATAGGTTTTGATTTTTTCTTGTTATTTTTGTGATTATTCATTTCATGTCTCTTTTCGTATTCATAAATATCTGAATAAGAATTCATGTCGTCATCTGAATCTAATGGATTTTCGTATTCTGGCTTTCTTATAAATGATGGACGCTTGTCAGAAGCGGCATAGTTTAAATCTAAACCGTCTAGGTGATAAGCTTGCCATGATTTTAAAGCCTCTCCCGCAAAATCATGGTCATCTAAATCAATGGGATCTGAAAATATATGAGATGTTAAGTAAGCATCACTTGTTGCTGATTTTATAGGGTTTCTGTAAGAGTTCACTGCAGGTTCTGCATAAGTTACTTTTGGAAAGTGATAATCAACCATATAGTCTGTTGGTGGCTCTCCAAATCCCAGTGGTTCTGGAGTGACGTAGTAGGTGGGGTTTCTTTTTTGTTGACCATATGCCGGTTTGTAGCTTGAAGCTTTGTTATAATTGTAACGCATTTTTGGTGGGTGCTTATAATAGCTTGGCCCATATTTAGGGATGTATTTTCTGCTAGGTTTTAAAGAGTGATACTTTGTTCGAGTTATCCCATATCTGGGTTTCGGACTTCTGTAATTTTGACTCGATATTCTCCTGTAAATCACATTGGGTCTACGATTGTAGATAGGTCGCATGGGAATGTATTTGATAATCATAGGTGCATGTCTCTTAGTCACTTGCTTTCCTAATTTTTCTTCGATAAGGTCTTGTTCCTGAAGTTGGTTTCTAGGTTCTACTTGTGCACAGCTCGCAGTTATTGCAATCTGAAATCAAAAAAATATATTGTACAGTTAGAAAAAGTTGTGAGTTTTATTCCTATACTTATTAAGATATTTACCCCAATATCATTCAGGTAATATATTCTGTAATTGGTCACCCAGTTACAGAATACATATAGACCGCATTGAAAAAGTACAAAAAAGGTTTCTGTGGCACATGACTCGTAGCTGTGATATGGCCAGGACGCTCAAGTCATATGAGGAAAGACTGTCTCATTTTAAGATCCCATCATTGGAAACGAGAAGAAAAATTATTGATTTATTGTTTTTAAAGAAATTAGTGACTGGATTTTTAGACTGTCCCGATCTTATTAGTAAGATAATGTCAATGTACCGCATCGGTTGCCTAGATCATGTAATAGCAAATTATTTGTTGTACCTCAAGGTCGAACTAATTTAAGATCACATTGTTCCTTAACAAGAATGCTTGCATTATATAAATAATACCAAAGCAGAATAGATCTATTCTCAACCTCGTTGGCTGGCATCAAAAAAGTAGTTATCGGCGATTAAGGCTATGTTCTAATGGAAGTTATTTCATTTTTTATGCATGTGGTGCCCTCCTGTAAGTAATGGAATATTTAGTTATAATAATTGTGATGTCGTTCCATATATATATATATGGAGTATATAACAAGTATATAACAAGTATATAACTAGTATATAACAGAGTACTCATTGCTGTGAGAGCCTAATAGAATAAATAAATAAATAAAAAAAATATTATATACTAGTAATATACCTAAACAATCTAAAAATCCCATGAGTTGATTAGTACCAAGCAACGACAGTGCGCGTTCTGGTTTTGAGATGGCGCAGTTTTCGATCCAAAATGACGCATGTGCACCGTAAACAACCGAAGCTAAGCCATGCTAAGTGTCGTTATCGAAGTTTCCGAAATATTATTCTTTATGCATAGACGCTCCGTACAGTTCTGTTCTACACAGAGTAATGACTGCTCTGCGTGCTAACTTGTACAGCGGGAGATTTTTCGTTTTCAATCTACACCAAAAGTTTCAAAGCCCCACTATATCTTAACAATTATGTTTGTTCAGCATGCAGTTCAGTAACTTTGACCAAGGTTAGGCTACGGTTTTAGAAAGTGGTAGGATTATTTCATGTCTAGGAGTCTGTTGGGTAGTTATCACCTTCTTTCCTATTTCTACCGCCAAATAGCAAAAATAGAAAAATAATTTTGGAAGTTATTACCTGCGCAGGAAATCTTGCAATGCAATAACTATTCCATTACCATTACAAATTATAAAAGTCCACTGCTGAACATAACCCTCCGCCATAAACTGCCTCACAGGGGAATTTTGCCAAAGATGCCACACTTGGCGGGCGGTTTGGCAACTGCAGTTGTTACAATTTTTAGTTGTTATCAGGAATATGCTGCAACTAGGGTCATCTGTCCGGCTTTAGCCGGACATGTTTGGCTTTTTCGGGTTGTATCCGGCCAAATTTTTATGTGCCCGACCTGTCCGGCTTTTGTTAAGCTTTTTCTTAGTGTAACGCATTGCACGCATCGCTTGGTTGTTGTTGAGTTGGAGTAGGTGAGTTTTTTGGCTGCATGGCCTCAGAAAGGTATGTTTGACTTTCTAAAAATTACTGTCCGGCTTTTAGGGCCAAAAGTCCGGCTTTTTGGAGCGCCGAGTCCGGCTTTTTCATTTTAGGAGATGGCAACCCTAGCTGCAGCCCGACTACTATTATATTTTCCCTCTGTCACCTCTTACGACAACCACGGGACGATATATACGGCGATATACGGACGATATGGTTAGTGGCACACTGCACAAAAATAAAAGTAGTTTTACAAAAATAAGTGATATTTATTCTGTAAATACTAGGAACAGATACAAGCTATTAGTACCGGTTACTTGACTCCACCGAATCAGTAATTCATTCTTGGGGCAATGTATATGCTTTTACAACAAAATCTCAGAAAATATACAAAATTTAACCTGCTCAAAGTTCGAAACCTTTACTAAACTGAAAAAGGGTTATTTATTATGTTATGGATTTATGGATGATAATAACCCATTGGAATGAGGTGATCGCTACTAAGCTATTTCTAATTTTTTTGTGTTGTTAATTGTGTAACATACATGACTGTAAGCTGTTATTTGAAAATAAAAGTCCCGCTGTGTTACTTGCTGGTTCTTCCCAGAACAGAAGTTTTTTTTTCGAACCAGCCGTAATTAAAGAAAATAGTGACTTTTAATAAGTATTATTTATAATCTATATTGAATAAAAAAAAATCTATTTCTGTTTCTGCTTCTTACATCACAACTACACGGTTAGACATAATTATATCTGTAAGTAAATATTTAGCCTGGCGACGGAGAACAGCGTTTAAGGTGACGCCTATTTCCTTTTAATTATTAGAAGAATGGACATGGACAGAGAAACGTTGTCGTTCGAACATACCTGATTTGACTGAATACGCTAAATTAAGGAAAATGAAGACAATCAGAAATATTACAAATTTTTTGCACAAATGTTGGATTCAGATGCGGCATGAATAAAAGATCCGTTACGTATTAGAGACTATGACTTTAAGCTACGCGATCATCAAACAATTAGACCTACATACATTATGATCTATAAATTTTATGTTATCGTCATTATTAGATGTTATTGTGTTTATCTCATCGTGCTCTACTGCGTGTTTACTTAGTGTCTCGCGTGAACACTTTTTCCTTTCGCATAATCTGGTTGAAATACTGACAGGAATCGTACATAGCGTGATGCGAGTCTCATAGTTTTCTCTTGGATACACAGATGTATTTCATCTACGACTACATCTGTCAAGTGTTTATAAATTGTTAGATGGCAAATTATTCTTGGTAGGAATCGGTGTTCTTTTGCGAGGTTATATGGTTTATTGAATCTGATATAATGGCGGAGATTTCTTCAACATGTTCATAGACTGCAGACTTTATGGGGCGTCGGTGAACTATAACCCGGTTTAAATATGATATCGGGACGTCAAATCCTTAAATTTTGACGTCCCGATGTCATTTTTAACGTGGCATTCAATCTTAGTACTCATACACTATGCGGCTACCCGCAGCCGTACGTCTGACCGCAAGCAAAAACATATATTTATTTATACATAACATCTATTACGTAATATCTATGCGCACTGCGATGCGGTTACTCGCAAACCGCTCCGGTCGCTCGGAGGGCTGAGGCCCGAATAACGTCCAGCCAGCCGGACGGTTGCTATTTGCACTTTTCCGCTCAATTTGCAGCTGCCCGATATAGAGTGAGATTGTGTGCACGTGGTACGTTTATGATGGACACCGAAAAATTTATCATCGAAATCTTCTTTCTTTTTCTTCTTTACGTAACGTATGTAATATATAGCTGTAATATGTAGTAAATAGTTGCAACTTATTCCACATCCATCTTTGAAATGAATCGATATGAAAACCGCTAGTTGCGGCTGCCCGCAATCCGGTTGGCCGCATTTGCAACCGCATCCTGCGGCTAGTTGTATTGCGGTTGTCCGCGTAGTGCGCACTTAGTCATCAGTAACAACACCCAACTCCTGATTAGATGGAAACATATAGTATCTTTTTTTTATACGATAAAGGTGACAAACGAGCACACAGTCCACCTGATGGTAAGTGGTTGCTGCGGCCCATAGACATCTACAGCTATCCTCTATTACAAATCAAAATGTAGATGAATTGTCACCCGTGAGGACTAAGATGGAATGCCTCATTTCCGGTAAAAAGGGCCTCCGGCCACCTGCACTCACCAAGCGAAACGCAGAGGTAAACCTCTACTTCACGCTGGTTTTCTGTGAGGTCGTGGTACCACCCCGGTTCGAGCCAGCCCATCCGTGCGATAGCAAAAGGTGCCGCGTGGCTCTACCACTGTTAAAAAGTAGAGCACGCTATCGGAGATTCTTTTAATAGTAATAAGGCATGTGTGACAAAGCATTTTCATATTCATTTCAAAATTCTCGATTATCTTTAGATGTGTATAGGCCACAGCATTCACTTAACGGGACGACACACAGTCAACTCTTACGATTACAAATATACGCTTGGTACCATTACTAAAAAAAAAATACTTTTTTTTCTAAACAATTTGGTTTCTACAAAAGTTATGACATCTTTCTGTATTCAATTATTGTCGTATTGGATGTTTGTAAGCAAACCTACAAAACTTCCTAAAGCATAAATTATATTAAACACGGTTTTCAAACAATGCTTAGGTTAATCTGGCTCTGATTTGCATTCGGCTGGGTCACTGTTAACTTTCGCTGTCAGTTATGGTAATGATCACAGTGCAGTGGGCGAAGTTTAAAATATTTAGGAATTCGAGTAAGTAACAAAAAATATGTTAATTAATTTACCGTTAAAGTAACATTTTTATATTTATATATTTGGGGCCGGCGTGTAGATACGTAGGTTATTTATCACATAAAAGTGTTTGTAGTAATATAGGTATATTCGTGGTTCTTGGGCTTGTTATCATAAACAATTTGTGAAGTAAATAAATCGATGGATTGGTTGTTGAATGTCCCCGTGTCTTATTAAGGTATTAAGGTTCACTGATGAACATAGCCACCCCCCCCCCCCCCCCCAATAGATTGCCAATGGGAATATTTGCCATAGTTGCCACTATTGCAAGCGGGTTGGCAACCGCAGCTTTTTATTTTTAGTCATTTCAAGTTCTTATTGAAATTCTTACACTACTATTACTATTCAATACGTGGTAGAGCCATGCTGCAGCTATATTAGTAGTATAGTTGTAGCACGAATAGATTTGTACGACCGGGGAAGGACCACGCTTTCACGGAATACCAGCGTAAAATATCAGCTTAACACTGCTGTTTCGTATGGTGAGTGTAGAGAACCGGAGATCGTTTTTACTGGAAAATAGGCATTCCATCTTAGTCCTTACGGGTGACAACGCATCTGCATTTTGATACTTTATTTGTTTTGTGTGTATTATTTTGTGATTTACTG